GCCATTAAAACAACTCTCAATATCCGAATTGGTTCATCTGGAAGGTTAATTATAGTTTTATGTTGCTTTGAAGAATTTGTCAATTTGGCATATAAATTCTGTGAAGAGTTGAATAGAAAACTACATTCACATCTACTTCAGATGAGAAGAATAGAATTTTTTCAAAGCAACCTATGAGTTGTAAGGCAAACACTAAGCGTATAGAACTGATCAGATCGAAGCAAAATGAAAGCAAATGAGAAACAAGCTGCCTGCAGGCTCAAACCACCAGTTCAATTATACCGCGACGGTTATGATACCGGTGAGAGATTCATCGTTGAGCAATTGAATCAAAGTGATATATTCGCCTTCAAAGTTAAACGTCAATCAACAAACGCTGTTGTATGGGATACATCTATTGGTGAGCATTCTGAACGAGGCTTTCATCTGCTCATTTGACATCGTTCATTATGGTTCATTGTATTTTCTTTACCTCATTGAATCATTTCCACACAAATGAAGGAGAAATTCGAAATTGTTCTGATGGGACTGCTGAACTGATTGCTCTATCATTTTCATATCTTTCAACCACCAGTAACATCCAAATTTCAATTAATAAGATTTCCAATGTTTCCCATTTTTCTGTTGATCTCACCGATCGCCTTATAATCCTGACCAACAATTCCTTTCAAAGCAGCAAATTATTAATCGTTACATTGAGACTCACAACGGCATCAAATAATGATAATGACAAAAACATTACAAATGGCCGCTGCTATTATGCAATACAACGAAATTTTGAATTTTCAAATTTGAGAAGAAAAATTTTTATCACTGAATGGATGATATGCATTTCAGGTGGATTATTCTTTGCCGATCAATTCATTCAGATTGCTGCATTTGTCGGATCATCTGAGATTTACGGTATTGGCGAGAACATTCAGCACACACTGAGGGTAGTGACCTTTTATGCTCACATGATTTATTGATGTTGCTTGAGCATTGCTGCCATCGTTCAGAATCACAACATAGGCAGAAGTTGAGTTTTTGTCAAAACAAGACATCGTTCATGCATTAGCTGAAAGGAACTTGCAATGCGTATTTCAGCAAAATGTGCAAGATTATCACACATGGGGTATACCAGCCAGAGACAATCAGCCTTACTCCTCCTCTGATGGACTTGGACCCTATCGAAGAAAGAATTTATTTGGTATGCAACCGTTTTACATGGCTTTCGAACGTGACTATAAAGCGCATGGCGTCCTCATATTCAATTCAAATCCGCAGGTAACGCACTCTTTATGCGAAATAACTTGAATAGCCCATGCAAACACCGTATGAGAGTCGTTATTTGTGATTGCAAAATTAAATTGAAAGTATGATATTTGTTTCAGGACATAACAATTGGCCCAGCACCTCATCTTATTTATCGCACTATTGGTGGCATGTTGGACATTTACTTTTTCCCAGGCCCTACTCCCGAAGATGTTATTCGTCAATATACAGCTCTCGTTGGACGGCCTGCGTTGCCCGCATATTGGGAACTTGGATTTCAGGTGAGCGGTGAAAATGATTCATCAATTCTTTTGATTTAACAAAATTCGGAACTGTCAGATGCTGACGTTTACAACTCAGCATTAATGAATATTTATAGGACAATTGTTATCTCTGTTCGATTTTAGATGAGTAATAGTGGTTGGCAAAATTTGACCGCAATGCAGAATATTGTTAATGACTTCAATCGACTGAACATTCCGCTAGATGTGGTCTATGCGGACATTGAAACGATGGATGGTTATGAAGATTTCACAATTGGATACGTAAATTTTGCTATTGTTCTTTATGCTTTTCTAATATCAATCTATTATCATTCCATTATCGTACTATGATCCTCCATCGTTCCATTATCACAGCAATCATCTGACTGCGTGCGATTTTTTCGGCT